TATATATCTCCACCTCCCAATCCAGCGATGACAGCAGCCTACATTGCAATGGTTCTTCGGGAACTACCTTGGCCTTTCTGTCCCGTGCCTGCTGACTCATACAGTCCTTTGCTCATGTCCTGGATTTATTTTTCCCCACCAAGCATCACTGCTGCCTTCCCTACAACAAACTGTGGCAGAACTAATACTCTCCACCACATTGTTTTCCCAGGATAGAAGACATAAGCAGGACTTCTGGGGAATCAGCCTGCATTAAACCAGTATCAAACGAGGACAAGGTAAGAAAAGAAAAATCCCACAGGTAAAGTCTTTCACCTCAAACAGAAAGTACCATGGTGACAGCAAAGACTAAAAGTCCACCTGGAGAGCAAGTGGGGCTTGCAGACAGTATGAAATCAGGAAGAGCATTTGTCCTTGTTGCTCAGTGGTCACCTTGGCCATACAGAGACTGGCACAAACCTGCAGTCAAGCTGGCACCCCCTTCACCTCCTCTCTGCAGCTTTCCAGCCTAAGCCCTGACACCCTGGATATCTGGTAGATGGATAAGAGATGAGGAGGAGACAGGAGGCTCTAAAGTGGTCATTGGTTGTGCCTCCCTGTTATGTGGTTATTTCCCTCGAGCAATCCATGCTGAGCCTGGCACAGTGATTTGGAAACACTACCGAGGCAGAAGGGTAAAAAAATGGCTACAGTTCTTTTAGACCTAGACCCATAAATCACCACAGTTCATGGGTATATGTGGTGTTGGGTGGTCTTGCCGCCCCTCTCAGGGGTGATGGCTGCCCACCACTGTCCCTTGAATGACTGCGATTTTGGCTATTTTAGCATTGCCAAACTTCACCCAAATTTTCAATGAAAAGAGTCTAATTCCACCTCAATTTTAAGTGAAACTTGCAGCCTCCTCAGGTTGATCCCTGAAAGGGACATGAGGATGGGTTACGCCAGCACTGCTGCATAGAGTGCAACTAGGTCTCATCTGACATAGTACAGTGAGGACAAGGCTGAAACAAACTCCCTCCATAGTCAACAGACAAACAAGTCCCAAAGAAGGATCTTTCTCATCAGAAACATCCCATCTCATATTGACATTAGGACCTTGAAGAGTCCTTCTCAGGGAGAAGGGTACTGAAGGGTACATGCTCTCCTCACTAATGAAGGGCTTTACAGTACGAAATTGGGCTTTGGGCACTACAGCCCCACCTGCACCTCTCTAACCACCCTTGTGTCAGCAAAGGGGACAAACAAGCCTATGTTTCTCTTGTGTATTAGGCTGGATCAAGCTGCTCCCTGGTTGTAGGCCAGACAAAGACAGGATGGAGGACGCTAGCCAGGACATATATTACAATCTTAGAATGATATTAAAACAACATTCAAGTTGCTTTGTAATATGCAATAACAAATATTATACTCTTAAAAGTACACTAAAAGAGCATTTTACACTAAAAGATCATTCCCATGTCACAGGCTAGGAATTAAGATGCTAATTCAAGACAAGCACAGCTCCAGAGATATATGAGTTTCAGAGTTTCAGAGATATATGAGTTTAAGTATCTAACACTAACTTTTTTTCCCCCAGGACCTGCATGGAGAGTGAATCAGGGTTTGCAGTGGAGGAGTAAGTGATTTGGAGTGTTGTCTGTAAGATCACTGTCTCATTTGCTGTAGAAATTGGAAGTGTGTCATAAATAACCCAGGGAACTGCAGGAGAGGGAAGGACAGTTCATTGTCAGGCAGCCCAATGCTGCCTTGGAGATCTGGTCCTTGATTCTCCTCTGTTAAAGACTGAAATAAAGAGACTAAATATTCAGGCTTCTATAATGAGTGCTCCTGAAGTAGAACAATCTTTATGCACTTCTGTGAGTTTTTAATGCTGGTGAGAAAAAAGTAGAGGTGGGAGGATGGCTCATTCCTGCTTGTGAAGAAAACCAAGTTCCTGGAGCACACAAGGATGAACAGAAGGTCAGAGTGTTAATTATTAAACTGAAGAGCCACAGTGAAGTTCTCATCTGTTACGTAGCTCATATGAAACAGAAAGTACACAATATGAGCTTTACAGGGAAAAAGAAAAAAATCACATGAAATGGTTAAACTGTTCTGCTCCCCCAGTGAATGATTGGTAGGAACAACATAGGCAAAATCATAGAATCAAGAGGAAAACACTCCTGGGAAGTCTCTAGCCCAATCCCTGCACAAAGCTGAAATCAACCCAAGCTGCTCAGGGCTTATCCATGAAGTTCATGAAAATATCCTAGGATGGAGATCACACAACCATCCCGGGCAACCTGTCCCAGCACTAATTAGCTCATAGTGGGAAGTTTTTTCCTATTTCCAGTTGGAAACTCTTGTTTCAATTTATGTCTGGGTTTTGTTGTTTGAGGTTTGGGTTTTTTTGTTTGGTTGGTTTCTTTGCATTCCCCTACTTTGCACTCCTGTGAAAAGCCTGGATCGATCTCCTGAATAATCTCCTTGTAGTCACTCGGTGGCTGCTATCAGTCAGTCCCCAACCTTCAAGGGGTTAATCCATCCCAAGTGAGTCCATCCCAAAATACTTTGCATTTGTCCTTGTTGAATTCCATGAGGTTCATGTCAGCCACAGCCTGTCCTGGCCCTCCTGTATGGCAGCCCTGTAGTCAAGTGCATTGATTATTTCCCAAGTCTGGTGTCACTCACTAATTTGACAAAGTGTATTTAATCTCCTCCTCATTTTTGATAAAAATATTAAAAAGGAAAGGTCCTAGGATAGTTCCAGACCGTTTCCTACCCAATTAGCAGTTCGCACATCTAGATTCTGGTTTCTCCTGTGTCTTTGATACAAGGACGCTGTGAGGAATCATGTCAAAAGCCTTACTGAGATCAAAGAAAACAACATCCACTACCCTCTTCTCATCCACAGATCTTCCCACCCATCCTTAGAGGCCATCATGTAGGTCAAGAATGATTCACCCTCGGTAAATGAACACTGGTCTTTAACAGACACCTCCTTCTTCATGTGCCCAGACACAGCTTCCAAGGGAATGTGCTATATACGATCATCCCAAGAACCAAAGGGATGATGACTAAACTAGGTTATCAGATAATGTTTCCTGATTTTTTAAAGATGTGCTAGATGTATTTTGGAATAGGGATGTCTTCCTACCTCATCCTTGTCAGGCAATTGCTCAGACATATAAAACTGTCCTGAAGACACTCTCTCCCACCTGGCAGGTCAGTAAGTGTTCATGGTATTAGGTACCACACGAATTGGCACCCACAAATACACACCAGGGTCCACAATGCTTTCTCCCATGCCCCCTCAAAATATAAAGGGTGCTGTAAAAGAGATCAACCCTGGTTTCAGACTTAAATTCCTCCTAGACCCACATATTCAATGAAGTATTTCAACCACACATGCACTAGGTGTTGCTGACCAGAAGTTGGGTCCCTGCAGGGACAGACACCCAACTACGCTCTAGAAACCAGAGAGGGAAAAGAAATTTAAGCAAAGAACAGCATTGATCAGCTTAGCTTCATTCTCCAAAGTGAGTAAATTGCAAAAGAAACCGAAACCCAACTTCAGGATGAAAAATCACCTTGGGCTTTGCTTGGGTTTAGTTGTCATAATCTATACTGTTCAGAGGTGTTCTTACAGTTCTCTTCTACCTGTTTGTTTTTTTTTTTTCTTTAATTAGGATTCATTTCAATTGAAATATATCCAGTTATTTCTAAATCAATTCACTCCCTTATCCCTGCCAGCAGCTGTTTTCCAGTAAAGGCTCCTTGGTATTTTTTGCAGAATGCAGTATCAGTTCCCACACACCAGATCTTACAAAGCTCTGAAAACATAGATACAAGATGTACTTTACCTTTGGGAAATCTTAGTAATCAATTCAGCACACTTCCTACAGTGGCATCATAGGGAGTTTCACAAATATCACTGAAGGAGGGAAAAAATTCCCACCATTCAAACATAGAGTGATACGTAAAGTGATTTGCTTCTTACTTACAAAGAAGAAGAAGATCTACTTCCCTGAATTCCCTGGAGGTCTGGAAGGACAGAAATGAGACTCACCTTTTATTGTCCTTAACTCCTGCTGAAATGGTTTCTTTTATGTCAGCCAAGACATTACTGCTATTCCTGCTGCATCCTCCAGGCAGCCAGAAAATTAGAGCTCAATCCTGCAGCATGCTGAGCTGCTGCAGGATGAAAGGGAGCTCACACGTGTTTTGCTAGAGCACAAAATACCTCACAAAAAATACTGTGTTCTCTAAAATTTCTACAAAATTTGCCATGACTTGGCGTACAACTTCTTACAGGAAGTTGTCCTTCTTACAGAAGGACCACTCCTGTTGTCACCTCTCTAGGTCTGTTTTCCAGGAACATCAAAGTAATTATGCCCTCACGATTTTTTTGCAGGGAATAAATGTCCAACGAAGCCATAGGCAAAGAGGATTTTTTTTTAGTTCAAATATATGCCTGTTCATCGAGCCAAGAAGGGTAAACCACAGCATGGAAATCATTACCACATCTAACAGATACTCAAGCTGTTCTAGTAATGTGAAATATTGAGGCACATCCAGACCAGAGACTCATAGAATGGTTTGGCTTGGAAGGAACCTTAAAAATTATCTAGATCAAACCATTTGCTCAAAGTTGTGGCAGAGCCAGCAGCCAAACTTCTCCAGACCTGAAAATACATTAATGCTGATGCTCCACTGTACTTTGCTTTCAGCTGCTAGTTGCCCCCAATAAAGTGCTGTGGCAGAGCAGAGCACCAGGTTAATGACATATGGGCAGAAATTCAGAGCTAATAACTGCAGAGAAATCCCATTAAATACCCTTTTAGAAAGAGAAGTGAGATTCTACTCATCTGCAGTCATAACAGGGAAAAATTCCTAGCACAGAGGCCTAGTTGAATTTTTTGCACATAATTGTGATCTGCCTTTCTAAATTCACCTTCTCTTTTCAAGGAGATCATATATTCTTTGCTTCCTGTCCCAAACTGTTTTCCAGTGACAGATTGCACTTGTGTTGTGTATCTCCTACTCACTGGAGTTAATTATTTTCTGCTGACAACGCTCTTAATGCTTTCCTGTCCTCAGAATCTGAACCACCCTTTAGTACAGCACCACAGGCGATAGCAGATTTGGAGCAAGAGGTTGTCCCCATGCTCTGCAGAACCTTTCACCCTGCACAGCAGCCTTCTGTTCTCTCCAGAGAGTCAAGATTCATTTAAAGTATCATCACCCCAGTGGACTGTTGGCATTTTGCATGGTTTTGTAGTACATCAGGAGCTCCACCTTGGGAACTACGAGTTTCTCTCCTGTGGCCACACAGTTTTCTAAGGAGTCTCAAAACAGTAATTAAGTAGGAGATATCTATCTGCAATCAGCCTAAATTTACCATACAGTAGTCCCTCCCTTCATTAAAATTTGTTGATGCTCTAGATCCAACAGACCACTGCGGACCCTCTTCCTTTCTTCTGTAGTGCTACATATTTCATTGCTCTTTTTTCCTCTAAAACATTATAAAGATGTTTGACCGCATCATACAATTCTATCAGACATCTCCAAGTGACAACAGTGCTGGGCAGGCTGCCCTGTCTCAACCCATCTATCTTACCCACCCTACCCTGCTCTCTTATTCCTCTGGTGCTTCTTCCTTGATCCCTTTGATGCAGATAGATCCCAAACCCGCCCCCCCTCCCTTCTCTTGCTCTGTGTTTTTTGCCGTTAGGCACTCAGTCATCAAATTTTAAAAAAGTCTTTGGCTGGATGTCAAAGTGATCAGTGCAACACCAAATAAAGCCTAAGGCTCTAACATTTCATCCTCTCTTTCTCCAGACTCCTCCTTCCAGCTCCATTCCTCCCCTTCAGTCAACAGCCACATACATACACCTCTAGTACCAACTGGTATCCTTTCCTAATAAAGCATCTCAAAACCATCACTAGTGTATTATCAGCCATCCCGGTATGGATACAGAAAGCAAAACACGAGGAATTAAATTCCTCCCTACCATTGCCTTCAAAACCAGCAGCAGAGGAAGGCACATGAGGCAGGGCATGCTCAAACCACCAGCCTAACAGTGTCAAACTGCTGGCTCTATGGCTAAGCCCAGCAACAATCCCAGACAAAAATAACCCACCCCACTTGCTTTTTAATTCTCTGAATATATTTGGCACTGGAAGCTCAAAAGCTTTGTCCTGTCCACACTAGATAAGTTTTTCCCAGTTTCTCTTCCGCACATCCCCCAGATGAAGATATCTTCCTTTTTTACCCCCAGAAGATTTCTGCTCTCCTCCTTGGCCAGAGCTCTTAGCCAGGGCTCTGCTACCTTACTTCCATGGGGCTTTATACTAAGAGTGTCCAGATCCTGCACTGACCTTCAGGCCAACATCCTTTTTATCATCATCCCTGGAGACTCTATACATATCTACTCCGGAAAGCTGCTTGTTTTCTTGAAGGTATTTATAGCATTAATAGCACTCTTCTTTCTTCAAGTTTCTGTCTGCTTCTGTCTCTGTATAGAAATTAAAACCCTGGATACAACCCAAGGAAAAACCACGTCCTGTTCACCAGAGCATACCGGACTCAGGGTGGATACTGCTGACGCCGGCTCGGGTTCATCAGACACTGCCTCACTGCTTGCAGATACAGAGATCTCCTCCAGTTTTTTGGTGGTGCCTTAAGGAAAACTGGGATATGATGCCACTTGAGATCCCAGTTTCCCTCCAGCTTTGCATCAGCCAAGTCCAGAAACGAAGAACACAAAGTGAGACCACGGCAAACTTTGCTGACTCCATTACAAGGATGCCTAAGGCATTTTGAGCCTCCTTCCCAGGGGGAAGCTCAGCTACATCCTTTCATCCTGATGTAAGGCATGCAGGTGAAATTTCTCTGCCATCAGATACAGCAGGGTATAGTTGACTTCCCAAAGCATTTTGAAAACCTCACAGCAGTGGCAAATATTTCAACATCCGCTTTTATCCTTCAGTAACACCTGCAAAGTCTAAGCCAGGGCAGATTTAACCTGAAACAGGGTTGGATCTCAGCTAATCCAAATTTGACCACTTTTAGAGTCTTTTGGTTCCCTATGGGATGGGAACATCCCTGGGTGTCTCTCACCAGGTCAGCTTGTCTGGAGAAAACCTGAACCCATCTTGGTCAGTTTCTTAAAACAAGATGCTACCTTATAAACAGGTTTGCAAAGCCCTGCAGGCACCAGAGGAATGCACACACCCCCACTTCCCAGTGTTGCTCCCTCCAAGCATTCCCTTGCACCTTGAATCCTAAAAAGCCAAATCCTCAAGAATCCCTCCTCCACCATTCCCTTCTGCATCCTGATCACAGAGAATTCCTCTCTCTGAGCATTTCTCTGGGAATTCTGAAACCTGGGCCTCTCTCCTGAGCTCCTCTCTACAAGCTTCCCTCTCTTGAGCATCCTTCCTACACCTCGACCTTCTGAGAAGCTCTTATTCCAACCATCTCTCCTACATACCTCCCTTCAAGTCCTCTTCTACATCCCAAACCCCAAGCATCAAACCCGAGTATCCCTCCCAAGCATCTCTACTGTCTCCCCTTCCTCTGAGTATCCCTTCTTTGGAGCATTCCAGTTCCTAAGAACTCCATTCTGACCCCCAAGCACCCCTTAATCACAGCTTCTTCCTGCATCCTTTGAACAAGCTCCTGCATCCTGACTGCCACGCATTCCTGCCTCTAAGCATCCGTTCTCAACCCTTTCCTCCACGCATCCCAAGCATCCCAACTCTTGAGCATCCCGACCCCCAAGCATCCCGACCCCAAGCATGCTTCCTGCACTCCTTTTCCCCAAGTACCCTTACTGCACCCCTTCCCCTGAGCAGCCCATCTGCATCCCTCACTTCAAGCACCCCTCCTGCACCCCTCATTCCAAGCATTCCTCCTGCATTCCCTTCCCCTGAGCACCCTTCCTATACCCTTCACCCAGAGTATCACCGCTGAATCCCTCACCCCAAGCATCCCTCACCTTTCGCGTACCTCTCATCCTGAGCATCCCTCCAGCACCCCTTTTCCCGACTACCCCTCCTACACTCCTTCCCCTGAGCACCCCTTGTACACCAGTCACCACGAGTATCCCTCCTGCATCCCTCACCCCGACCATCCCTCCTGCACCTCTTTCCTCGACTACCCCTCCTGCACCCCTTCCCCTGAGCATCCCTCCTGCATCCCTTCCCCTGAGCATCCCTCCTGCATCCCGAGCCCAGATCACCCCTCCTGCACCACTTGCCCAGAGCCTTTTTCCCCTGTCCCCCTGCTTCCGACCACCCCAACCCCTGACCGTCCCTCTCCTGCATCTCTTTCCTTCCTTCCCCCTCCTTCCCCGCGTTACCTCCGGCCAGGACCGGGATGCGGCGTGGCCGGCTGCGAGCCGCAGTCCCGGAGCAGCGCTGGGCAGGGCCGGAGCGGCGGCGAACTACATCTCCCAGCGGGCCGGGCCGTGCCGTGCCGAGCCGTGCCGGGAGCGCCGCGCCCCCGCTTCCTCCGCCTCCCTGCGCCTCCCTGCGAGCAGCGGAGCTCGGCGGCTGGAGGGGGCGCAGGTGGGTCCCCGGCGGGGTTGGGAAGGGGGCGTGGGGAGGGCCGGGGGCACCCCCAGCGGAACTCCCCCAGGTGGAGGGACTGAGGCACAGGGAACGAAGGGGGACCGGCGGCCGGGAGCCGCGCTGATGGTCTGCTCTGGGATGTGGGAAGGATGGGTGAGCCCCCTCTGAGGTGTGTGGGTGGGGGGAAGTAAGGGGTATTTTTTAGTATTTTAAGCTAATTTAGTAGTGTGAGCGCCTGGCTGCGTTAGGTGAGCCGTACCTATGGTTGTCCCTAAGAGGGTCGGGCTCAGCGCCATTCTGCAAACTTTGCATTCCCCCACCCCCTTCCAATGAAAGATCTCCGAAATTTAAGGATTCACAGCACATCCTGTATGCCCACGCCCGGGACATGCTGCCAGGTGGGTCCGGCTGGTCAATGGCCGTGAGCTGTACCCTGCAGAGGGTCTAATTCTGGATGGTACATCCTTGTTACTGTGCTTTCTGAGTGGGATTTGTTATCGTGCAGCTGCATCCGTGCTGGGAATTAGCTGCCCTTTCACTGCAGGGGTGCTCTGGAAGTGATGCTGTCAGTGGGAAATGGGGTGGAAACTGGATTGCTGAACCCCCTGTGTGTGAATCAAGCAGTATGCACGTGGTGGGCTACCACGCGTGCAGATGAAGTGGTCCAGCAAGGGAATAAAGTGGTCCAGGAAGGAAATAAAGAGTATCTAGAAGATACTCCAGGGGTGCCAAGTGATACTTATGTGGATGCCTGGACAGGACATTGAAAAACATTGAAAACCTTTGCCAGAACTGACATTAAATTGGTATATTGGACTGTAAAAAGGGTATCACCTTGGAAGCAAGTGATGCTCCCCACTGCCACGAGATCCCAGACGGGCTCCCTCCTGGCTGCCGGTGGCAGTGCCCTCCTGACAGTCTGCGCTGCCCACCCAGCAGCCCCTGAGCCCACGGGTGTCGGAGGTCACACGAGGAGAGTGCTGAGCAGTGCAGCACATTGACTTTAATTGTCCAAACCTCGCTGCAGCCGCACGTCTCTGGCTCTGCACTCCCTCTCCCCCTCCATCTTGTCGTCAGCCGTTCTCCTTCAGCAGCAATAACCTTCATTTCGTTCTCCTACTCCCTGCTGTGCACTGCTGCTTTTATTCCTCTTCTCTCAGGAGGAACCTGACCTTAGTTTTATATCGCTCCTTGCTCTTACTAAAGGAGCACCGGCTCTCTTTTCCTACCAATGCCTCCCTAACCCCTCTCCTCTTTTTACTTAAATTCAGCATCTGCAGAGACCCTACAGGCAGCCTCCTGCGTTCGGCTGCATCTCTAAGCAAGCAGCCCAGGAGATGCTCAAGGGCATCGAGGTGCAGGTGTGGGAAGGGGTGAACACACGGCATCATCGCACCCACAGCAAACCAGAGTTGTTGTGGAACTCCCGGTCACCTTTCCCATTCTTCATGCGTCACACTGCCAGAGAGCAGAGTTTCTGTGTCTAAAGAAGCACGGCCAGAAAATTAAATGTAAATAAATATAAATAACTGGCTGCGCTCCGAAGGTGGATTGCCAGCGTGCCTATGGCCAGGTATTGCAGCCGCCGGCAGATCGATACCAATCCTGTCGTACCGGGAGAAAGGAAGGGTGACCCGTCGTTTCCTGCCTCACGCCTGCTGGGAATTTGAGTCCCCTCCCAGAGCTGGTCACAATGTCCCCCGTGCCAGCTTCGGGGTGAGCGGCCTTTCCCCAAACGCCTGCTGGAAATTTCCAGAGACATCACAGCAGTCCCGAAACAAAAAGCTGCTGTGCCTCCCCGCAGGCGCTGCGTTTTGGGATCTAGTGCTCCTGGCAGACACGCCGTGCTCTGCTTCACCGACTGAATTTTAAGCTTCTAAATGCTGCATTATTGGACGGGTTGATATTAAGTAAGTGTCCAAAATCAGGTGGGTCCGTCCTGCAACGATGGGAAAACGTGGGGTTTCCTCTGTAAGATTACTATAAATAAGCATATAGGCTGCAGAAACTGTTGCAAATCTTTAACCTTCTGTAATTGAGGATGAGCTGAGCTTAGTATTTGTTCATCAGGAATACGTGAAGGGAGGGTGAGTCTGTGCTTGCAATAGATTTTTTCCAAAATTATTCCTACAGTTCAGCTCTCATTGGTACTTACTGTCTGCTAAAAGCTAGGTAAGTGGTCAATTTAAGTTTTTATTTTTTTATCCCGTAAATATTTTTGCTTGTTCCCCCCCCCCTTTAGTTCTTTGATTATTATTTTTATCCTGTCTTTCATGGAGTTACTTCTAGGATTCAAACTGCCTGGTCTGCAGCCCCATCACAGTTGGGCATGAGCTCATAGCTGAGGGTCTGGATTTTCTCCGCAAAATCATCCCCTTGAGAATGGACAAGGCACAAAACTGCTCTGCAGGTAGAGTCACAGCAAGTGCCATGGGGCTGGCTGTGCCCAGATGTGGAGTTCTCAACTTCATTACGGTTTGGGGGTTTTTTTAACTCAAGGCTTGGATGTTTTGTAGAAACTGGAATTCTTATCTCAAACCAAAACAAGTGTGGAGCAAAGAGATATATGCTGAGTGTAGGGCAACTGGGGCATAACCTAGAGCAGAACAAACATTGTGCAAGAGGAACCATCCTTGCCTGATTATGTGTTCACCATTAATATGCTCTAGTGGAGCAGATTGGAGCCCCATCCTGCAACAACCATCTTTTGCTGAATCCCATTTAGAGGCTCCAGCAGCCATACAGGTGCCCAGCTATTTCTTTTTTCATATCTCCTTTGGAGCTGAAATCAATCCTGCCCCTTCTAAGGCAGAATTACTTCCTATAAAGCATTACCTAATCTGTCTCTTGTAACATTTATTTACTTGATGTAGCTTTCACCAGCTCTCTTGGGCAATACTCAAAAAGCCAGAGAGGTTTTTAGTCTGGCTGCTCTTCCTAATGCTTAGCAGAAGTGGTCCCTGGTTTGCTTTAATTTTATTGCCACTTAGGCATTCTTCATTGTGCCAGCATAAATAATTAATATCTTTTTTTTTCCCCTTTTTGCTGTGTATGTTTTTTGTGGATCATTTTTACTCCTCACCTATTTATACAGAAGCTGTACATACTTCTCTGTCTTAAATACAGGTTTTCAAAGTTTTGGTTGTGGAGGGATAGTTTACAGGTGAGCGAGCTATTGAAGGCTACACTATAAAATTAACCATCAGTGCAATATATAATATACATAAACTTGTGAGGCACTGGTACACTGCACAGAGAGCCTGTGGCTGCCCCATCCCTGGAAGTGTTCAAAGCCAGGTTGGGTGGGGCTCTGAGCAACCTGGTCTAGTGGAAGGTGTTCCTGACCATGACAGGGGGGTTGGAATGAGATGATCTTTAAGGTCCCTTCTGACCCAGGCCATCCTACGATTCTGTGATTCTATGAAATTAAAACCATTAGAAACAATGACTGTGTAAACAGCCACATATTGCTTCATCTGGCAGCAAAAGATCCTGTTGTTGTCACAGCAGACGTTAAGTTGTATTTCAGGGGGTGCTACAATTTCAAATGCCTTTAGTGCGATGTGTAAGGGCTTCAGAGGCCCTAAGCGGCCTGTGGGATGGACTTTGGAAACCTTAACAACTCAACATCATCATCATCTCCTACGTTCTTGCTTTGCTGCTCTGTGTTTATTTAATCTCATTAATTAAATCCTCTGAATGACAGTAGGATCAACCTGTTAACCTGATCTTGGGCATTGCCTTTGAAATCCGAAAGGATTGATCAATTCTTCCCCAACATTTGTAAAGTGAAATCTGTGCTTGCAGTCAATTTCCCAATAAAAATCCTGTTGTAAATTATCTTCAGATAGATATAGATACATATATCTTTTGGTAACCAAATAAACATATCTATAACTTTAGACTTTCCATTAAACTGCATTTTTTGGCTAAAAAGGATAGACTACAACTGTATGCATTTTTCAGAGTGGTTAAATATGTAATATTTGTGTTACTTGTTTACATTTTACTTATGCTGGCAAATCATGACTGAAGCTTTTTTTTGGATGATTGCTTGTGGGTTTTTGCCAACTTGGGTGAAACAGGCACTCAGTTAAATTATGTATACAGAATTTTATTTATTAGCTAATTAAAGCGCTCTTAAATATGATGACTACAGGAGAGGGAAAATAAGCTTATCCAAAGCTATTCTACATTCAAAATGATTAGGCAAACAGAGTGGTGTGATAATGATGGTTCTCAATACGTGAAGGCATCAGTTAGTGAAAACACGTAGATTTTGTCATTTCACATACTTTCATACCTTCCCTCTGTGTCAACCCCCGTTACTCTCCCAGGTTCAAACCACTTATTTGCTGAACTAAACTTGTGGGGTTGTTACAGCAGAAGGTTGTTACAGAAATATTCTCTATGCAGATACTGAGGATGCTCCTGTGAGTAAAACCCAAGTTAAAATTTACAAGCCCTGGTCAGTTGAAATGCTTAGATGCTCACAGACAGCTTCTATTCAGGAGTTTGACTTTTTCATAAAGTTAACCACTGCTAGTTAAGCACAAAATAAATCTTATGTTCTTTGTCCAAATTCACATCTTCAGCTCTCAAATTAGATCTCTAAGTGATCTAATTTGAATAAATTTTAAGTGCTACTTGAGGAGGGGCTACACAAAAGACTTTACTATCATTCTTTGCTTCCAAGAACCATAACCCAATTTGCACTTGTCCTTAGTGACTGCAGGTTATGGAATCATACAGTTATAGAATGGTTTGGGTTGGAAGGGACCTTAAAGATCACCTGGTGCTAACCAGCCTGCCATTGTCCACTAGACCAGGTAGCCTCCCATGTCCAAGATCAGATGCTCTTGGTACCTCCTTTTTTGTGGAAATGCCACCAAGCAGATGTGATTTTCATGCTGCATTCTTGTACAACCTTTATATTGCATTAGCAAAGTACCTAGGCTTGATAAACCAGGGTAGGGACTGCAAATGCTGGTTGGACTACCCATTTCATTTTAATTTTTAGAAGTTTATGAAAAACATTTTTTCATTAAAAAGTTTGTATGAAGAAAAGCAGCAAGGACTGACTTTCTTTCCCCAGCTACTGTCAAGCATGTTGGTTGCTCAGTGCATTAAGTCCAGGTTGATGATAAATCTAGTAGACACGGGGTGCTCATCTGCGCTGAAATTTTGGGTTTTCTGAGGTTCCCAGACCATCAGATTGATCTTCATACTATGAAGATATAGACCTCTAAGTCATGGGATGAATTAGGCAAAAGCAGATGATTAGGAATGACAGCTGGGGAATAGTTATCCTGCAGCCTTATCCACGGGCCAGATGTTTGCGTCATAAATGTTTGAAATTTAATCTAGTGCAGGGGCAGTGGGGAGGGTCAAAATAAAAGCAGGCTGGTGTCCTGGGAGACTGAAATCCAGCCTGTATGGGTCTGCAGACTGTAAAACAGCCATAAGCAGAATAGGCTGGCCAGGGCATGTGTCCGAGCAGTGCCCAGAGGTGAGAGAAGAGCAGAGCCCCCATGGTGGGGGAGTAACACCATGTCTGCCAAGTTCTGTGCTATTACACCCACAACTTTTCCAACATCGGAGCTTAAAGCTTGGGCAGATTTCTGATGCTATTGCTGGCAGCATAGATACAGCCTTCAGCTTTGAAGAGCTCGTGTTACTGCCATATTTTGTTGGCAGCCTCCCTTTTGGACTGCTGATAAAGAAAACAGTTACAAGACACTTTAACAGTATCTGTTCAGATTTGACTGAGCAGTCTGCTTCTCATTCAGGCTATTAGCCAGTGAGGCTTTGGATCAGAGTAAACCTAGGGTAGATGATGAGTCTGAAATTAAAATCTGTATCTTTGAACCATGTGGTGGTCTTTAGATTGTGACTTTTGACCATGGGCTTTGCCAAGTGAAGCCTTGTCGCAGACACATCAAAGAAATCTTCTCACTCTGCATCTGACTAAGGCTGGCCAAGAGCATGAGAAACCAACTCTCATGGTGTAGATAAAAAGGCTTGGGCTCAAAAATCTGCAAGCTTCAGCTATGAAGAAAGAACAGAAAAACTGGGGTTCTTTATCTAAAGCAACCTGAGGGGCAGCAGAGTTTAGAAGCAATAAACGTGGTCTTTGCAGTCACTGTCAGTCCTGCTTCTACAGGCTGTGTTATTTGCAGGGTGGTGTAGGGAAGCTTCTGTTTGATGAAACATGATAAAAAGTAAAACCCATTTTAGCCTTTAGGTTTTGGAAATGTCTGATTGATCTTGGAGCAATGCTTTTACAGTCATATTGCAAGCCCTTAGGGGGAAAAATACATGGCAGCCACTTGTGCTACAGAATTAGATCAGTTAAAGCCTCCATGTGATCAGGTTTAAACAGCTCTTGACTCTAAATTGGGTAGAAGTCTTCAAGAGTGGGAAGTACGCTGAGACTGCAGTGCTAAGGGAAGCTTAGCACTGGAACAAATAGTTTTTTCTGGAGTATATTTGGCTGAGGTTAGTCACAAGGATGGTCTTTGGTCACGGGCATACACAGGGTGTTGTGTTGATGTATGCATGCATCTTTATCTGCCAATTTTGTTGGATACATGGGACTAAGGGACACACAGGCAAAGCACTCTGGATTTAGAGATCTGCATCTTTCCATTATTGTGCACTGTGATATAGGCTGTGTGCCAAGGGCTAAAGAACAAAGTGGAATGTTAGTCCTAAACTAGAAGTGCAATACAAATTCTCATTTGACCTGTTAATTAGCTGCTCTAGGTTGGATCAGTTTTTCTAAGCAATATATGCTGCTGTCTAGAGATGTATTTGTTTTAGGATGTCATTAACACTACTATTTAGATTTTAGCAGCCATAAAAATTGATATTTAAGCACGAAATGACCTGTATTTTGCTGTGATTCCAGAGCTGATAGTAATGTGTAGTGTCTATGATTATTCCATGACTAGTTAGGAAAATGCCTGCCGCTGCAAGCAAATACTGTTGAGTTTCTTGCTGAACTGTTGATTGATTTGGATTCAGCAAACAAGGGAAAACAGATTTGCAGGTCCTCACATAGCAGGAATTATGGCCCACCTGTGCAAGACAGCTGAGCTGATCTGCAGTGGAGGTGGCGACGTAGCTCCTTTCTCTTTCCTTGCCCCAGCCCTGGCATTGGTCTGGCTCCAAGATACAGCTGAAACATATGCTAAATAGAAAATGTCGCATTTTCTCCCTAAACTGGTTCACTGTGGGGTCAAACAAGTGCCAGAGATGGAATAAGGGAGGGGGACTGTATGGTGGAGGGCCAAGGGAGGTCATTTCCCTTCCTAAGGCAGTGATGTTTAATTGCACCTTAAAATCGCATCCTCAGTTTGTCTCAGCTGATTGCAGGGGAGCCATGTGGAAACAACATCACCTGGGATATGGCCCAAATTAATCAGAAAATGTTTTCTAGGGTAAAACACATTGGAAGGAGGAAGCCTCGTGGGTTTTTTTACTGTCCTGTGCTTATGGCAGCAACTGCTCACTGTGTCAAGGAATTCTGCTTTAATCATATCTTCAAACACTATGGAAGATGTTGGGATGTGTCCAGTTCTTGTCCTGTCCTTTTTTGTCCCCTTTAAATTCTGTGTTCCTGAGGGAAATGGGATCATATGAGCCTAGGACACAACTCTTGCTTTGAAGTCAGCCACCACTGTAGGCACTGATGGGAGAGATTTCACTTTTAGCATGATTATAAAGCTTTGGAAGACTTATGTTTCTGGCACTAAACTGAACTAAGGAAGTCCTGTTCAAATCTGTTAGGAGAAAAAACCTATCCTTATGCTTGTTCTCAAGATACAACCTCCAAAAGTAATTCCCCACTTCTAATTTCTATGATGAATTCTTGCCACTTGGTTGCCCTTATATATTTAGGACTCTTTCTCTGTAGTTTAACCTTTCAAAAAGGTCAGTGCAACTAAATGTGTTGTGTTGGATTTTCTTTTTTTAATTTTTTTTTTTTAGAGTTAGTCCCAGCATCGTGATTTTTCCATGATGTCAGAACCTATCACACTCAATGTTGGAGGAAAACTCTATACCACCTCTCTGTCTACTCTGACTAGCTTTCCAGACTCCATGCTGGGGGCCATGTTTAGTGGGAAGATACCAACCAAGAAGGACAGCCAAGGCAACTGCTTTATTGACAGAGATGGCAAAATCTTCCGCTATATCCTGAACTTCCTACGAACTTCTCACTTGGACCTCCCCGAAGATTTTCAGGAAATGGGCTTACTTCGACGGGAGGTGGATTTTTATCAAATTCAGCCGCTGATTGAGGCCTTGCAGGAAAAGGAGGTAGAGCTTTCTAAAGCAGAGAAAAATGCCATGCTCAACATCACCCTCGATCAGAAGACCCAAACCGTTCACTTCACTGTCCGAGAAGCACCCCAGATTTACAGCCTGTCTTCCTCCAACATGGAAGTGTTTAGTGCTCATATCTTCTCCACATCATGCCTGTTCCTGAAGCTTCTGGGTTCCAAACTTTACTACTGCTTCAACGGAAACCTTTCTTCAATATCGAGCTACCTGCAGGACCCCAACCATTTGACCTTGGATTGGGTGGCAAGTGTGGAAGGCCTTCCTGAAGAGGAGTACACCAGGCAGAACTTGAAGAGACTCTGGGTGGTGCCAGATAATAAGCAAATCAATAGTTTCCAGGTGTTTGTGGAAGAAGTGCTGAAAATAGCCATGAGTGATGGATTCTGCATAGATTCTTCTCATCCACATACTTCAGATTTCATGAATAATAAGATTATTCGCCTAATTCGGTATAAGTAGGATGGGCTGTTTATTGTGGTGCAGGAAGCATGGAGATAACACAGGTTAAGTGTTTCCCTTTAAAACACACTTACAGCCTAATTCAGAATCACGCTTATCTGGATTAAGAGTCGCTAACAAGGAGATGATTTTCCTTTAATGTACTTACCAATATGACCTTTCAGAATATGTCCATATTCTAGATGGAAGCAATATTGTCTAGCGCCTGAATTAAGGACTGGTACTGTCTCTGCTGCCCCCTCTGACCTGCTGTACAGCTGTGGGGAAAATCACCTAACTTCTCTCCTTTCTACATCTCCCAGTTAAAAAATGGAAGTGATCCCTAGCCTATGTTGCAAGGGGATGTGAGGGTTCAGTCGTCAAGGTTTGGAATGTGTCTGGAGAACAGATGTGGTGAGAGATGCCATGGAACTGCGGCACAGCAGACAGCTCTATGACCGCGTTTTCCATGTCTTGTTGTATCACCTGTGTGGAACATCCAAGAAGCTTGGCTGGATCCACAGATAAGAAGCCTCCCCATGTGCAGTCAGTACAGCTGTAAAGGATGGTGCAAACTGCAAATGAGTAAGGGATCCCATCTCCCTGGGTTCAACAAAGAACTTCTGTCACCATCTGAAGCTGCCTTGTGCTTTTTTTCTGAACCCCGTGAGGAAGCCCCTGCTTTATTCTGCTTTCAGGGAAGCAATGTTGGAATAATGTGACTGGCATGGAGAACAACCAAGGAAGCCATAGAAGAGAGAATGGTGTTCTTACAAACAAAGAAGATTAAACTTTTACATTCCAAAGGCATCCAAGACAACTAGTCCTTTTTTTTCTCTTGCAGTTGTTAATAATTGTCTGGAGGATGCTGCTGAAACTTTCTGAGATGAAGGCAGAGTTTGGGGCAGAGGCCCCAAAATTTCTTCTTAGCATTTTAGCCTTTTCTGGCGTTCTTCTGGGCACATCTCCCTTCAGCAGTGCCTGGAGTGCGTCGAATGCTCTCTGGATAGGATGGATTCCATTTGAAAAGACAACATTCTCATCAGGTTACATCCAGCATTTTTCATTACAAAAACAGAAGCTCACTTTTCCTATCCTGGTACATTGGGCCTTTTTTTTAACGTCCGTGTGAAATGGTCAGGTCACTAAACAGCATTTTCCCCACTTGCTTGGCTTCAGTGTCAGGTTGTCAGAGATAAGGCAGTAGGAAGCCAGAGGTGACAACAATGGTCAGGCTCTTTCCTACACACCTGGTCCGTGCTATAATGAAGATTATAATTCAGTAGCTGCATGTTGTCTCTAAACATGTATTTAGAGACATCATTTGTGCCACATTCAAGATGGTTCCTTCTCAGCTAATTATGTTTAAAAGTATCTTAACTGTATTTCTCTAACCAGATGGCTATGAGTACATTAGAGACGCTCTGGAACATTTTCTGGTATCTTTAATGAGATAAAAGGGAAAATGCAATAACCAGGTTTTGCATTTAGAATTTAGCACTTCCAAAGGTTCTTAGCACAGGGCTGCAAAGCTCTGTATTACTCATGTTCTTGTTTCCCAAAGTAACTTGTCTGTCATTACATTAAGCTGACCTGTGAACAAGCATAAAGAAGCTCTTTTTCTTGTAAAAAACAGTGAGATCAGTATAGTTCTACGGCCCAAGCTGTAACTCCATGAACAACACAAATCAGCATGCTGATGGGAAAAATGCACATTCTGCAGCTCTTGCCAGCCTGTTAAAGACCACTGCCCTTTGTTTGACTTGGTGCTAAACCAGCATGATATACGTGGGACCATGTTGCAAGAAAGTACTGACTGGGCTTGAAGCCCTCAGAACCATTAAACCTGGCAAATACTGTGAATTTTAAGGACTGCAAACAGGATTCTGTGGCCAGATTCTGGCTTGAGTCACCATATTTATCTAGCTTTAGTTGCATTAGGAAGAACTTTTTTTTTTTTTCTCTTCATCCCTGTCCTGAATTATAAAGCATGTGTTTGCCACTCAGCTGGACATTCACGGAGATGACTATGCTGTGAATATGATTATGATCTGTAATATGAACCCTTTTTGATCAAATCTATGTCTTGAAACTTCAACCTTTGCTGAATTTATGATAACAGAGCTTTTGGGGACCATTGACAGTATTTCTTTTTAACCCACATCCTTGAGAATAGATTTTAAATGATCTTTAACAGGAGATCATTTGTCATCACATGTCATGACTAAAGTAATACTTACCTGTAGGAATTTGTTTCCTGTCAGCTTGAGTATTACGAAAGGTAAGAGCAGTGGGGATAAATCTCATTGGGAGTGGGTGGGGGGAATTCTGATCTACACCCTTTAAAGCTCTGGATCAGTACTACTCCATTCTGTTTCAGCAAAATAAAAACATTCCCTGGGGGATTTGAATCATTACTGCATTTTCTGGTGAAAGGTGAGTAAGAGTAGTCTGTAAAAGGAGAGAACTGAACTCAGATCTTCACCTGGAGTGCTTTAAGCCATTAGTCTCTTATGCAAAAGATGAATGACTTGAATACACACTTATTCGTGCTCATATAACTAAATCAGGAAAAGGTAGAGCTGGCCACAAATCTGTCATTTATTAATACATAGAGAGATGCAAATTATCTCTCTTCTTTATGTGGATAGATGCAAAATTTCCAACCAGTATAAAGACATGAGTGAAGCCAGGCTTCGGGAGGAACAGAAAAACTCAAGGTACCTCTAAATTGCTAAGCACAGTAAACATCTTTATGTATGAGTTACTATTTTTAATGCCACGGCCGTTCTGTGTGCTAATGGGGGACGGGAAATAGGCAGTGAGTGAATCACTGGTGATTGCAGGCAAACATATGTTCTATGCAGTTGCTATTTCAAACTACAGGCTAAGCTAAATCTATAGCTGCTCCCAAATTTTGCAGTCTGTGAGTTACGTTATAATGACTGTTTATAGGAATGTTCTCTATCCAGAGCATTTGTTTGCATTTTATCTGGATAGCTGGGTTTTGTTTACCTTCTTTTTCTGAGCCCTAGAGGTGTAACTTGCTTTTGTTTACCGGTGAACAGCACTGATAATGATTTTTCTCAAGAGCTTTCCTGAATTACAGAGAAGCAAACATGCACAAAGCCATTTTAAGTGCAGCACAACCCCATCACTAGTCATGAAAAGCACTTAGCATTTATTAGCAGTAACATCTAAAAATTATGTGGAATATTCACTCTCAGAACAAACAGGTGTTGTTTTTCCTGAAAAGGATCTAGTGACTTTTTTCCCCTTAAAGCTTGAAGGGTGTTTTCTTCTACATCTTGGTGCATAACTCCTGATTCTGCCATATGCCTGTCTGTGTTAACACCTTTGTGTACAAAATGAGGCCAAGTCCTGCAATTTTTTTAAATAGCCTTTTTTGGTGGTTTGTTTTGTTGTTGATTTTTTTTTTTTTAATGGCTACTGAATAGAACAAAAAGCAGAAATATATCAGTGTTAGGGCAGATGATAAACAAGTTGTTAGCTGTAGTCTAATGTCATTTTCAGGCCTGGACTTCTGCATAGCACAGTGGTATTTCTTATATGACAGAATTATTCTGAAATGTCTTAATGGAGTCCAGAAATAAACACCTGTGGATTTCTGTATGTGTTTTTAGACTTGATAGCTCTTAAATATCTAACAATGTCCACTTATAATCACGGAACTGAAACTATACATAAATATTAAGACATACTTGGTTTATACAACTGTTAAGAGTCAGGAGGATGTGGTAGGAGGTGTGATTGTTGCTGCAGGTGATGGTGAGGAAATAAATAGTTGTAAAAATTTAGATCTGAAAGAATTCACATGTTAACAAGAAATCCAGGTTTAGTAGGGAGAGTATAGAAACTCTTGATGTGTTCAGGAAAAAAAAAAAAA